TCCAAAGATCTTTGGTATTTTCCTTTGTTCTAACTGAAAATTATCATCAGTAGTCATAGATTTGATCAAACTTCAGAAAAAAAAAACAAGTTACTGATTTTTCTTTGTCTGGAGTGTTGGGCTTAAAAATAAACCTGAAATGTTCGTTTTTCTTCCTGCAACTTCAGTAGGAACAAAGTGCAGGTTTATGTAGAAAAAAGAAATCACAACGTAGAAACTTCACTAACATCTAGCTATTACACTAATCAGCATTTGTATTCATGGTGAGGTACTTTTAATAAACCAGACCACTCATTAGCAAATTACTGGAACAGTTCCAACTGTCCTTAATCACAGTGTGACTGAGAGAAATGGGATCGTTAGGGAAAAAAATGGATTTTGGACATTTTGCCGAGAGTTGGTCTGAGATCTGGCTGATGATTGGTACCGTTTACTCTCCTCATAGGCTATTAGGTGTGTGTGTGTGTGTGTGTGGGGGGGGGGGGGGTAATTACGTAAGGCAGGGATTTTCAAATTTTCACATTAAAGCAGCCATCGGCCACAAAATGTAATTTTTTTTCATTTAAGAAACGCTATAATAATTTCACCGTGACTTTTTTTATTTCTACGTCTCACCAGTCGTCTAAATATAAACACACATGTAACAATCTGAATGTAAAAAAGGTTTTTGTTTAAAAACAATTGTTGATCCACATCAATGACCTGGAGAGACACGCTTCCACTGTTCTCAAGGTGCTACTGGGGGGCCACATACAATCACTCTGATGTCCACAAATGGCCCCCAGGCCACACTTTGGACATCCCTGATCTAGGAGAACAAACTGAATCTCAACAGATATAAAATAAACTGTTTTACAACAAAAGTTCAAAAATGACCAAATTAAAATAGAAAGTGATGAGATGCAAAAAAAATAATTCAACAAAAAGTAAGAATGGAATCAAATCTAAAATGATTTTTAGAAGTTAGTTGGCTTTAGTTTGTCCCTAAAGGTCTTCAGTATAAAGTCAAAACATGACGTCAAAAGACAAGGAGGGAGTCATCTCATTCGCTCAGATCACATAAAATCTCATCTGTGCTCATATTGACTTTTTCAGGGTCGAAGGAAACAAGGAGAAAATCTAAGAAATAAACCCTGAAGTTTGGGACTAAATCAAAGCTAAAGAAGAGTGCAAACACAGTAAAAGTGTTTTCACCCCTGCAGCGTGAGATCAGCGGGACAGGAAGAGCAGCTCCACGTACAGGTTCACACATTTGTCTGGACGTGTTTATGAACAGATTCTGTTTTTACGGAAATGAAGCCCATCATTTCTGGCATCTTAAAAATAAATACCATTAATAACCTGCTAATAGAAACAGCTCCTCACACACACAGAACAGCCTGGACGTCCATCCTCTGACGCTCCGTCTTGATGAAGTTGTTTCTGTCTAAGCGTGTCATAAAGGATGATGTGATTGTGGTTCGCTGGCCCCCATCTTTTCCTCCACCTGTGCATGATCACAAATCAGTCTGGGTTTGATCTTTGACGTGCAGAGAGAAGGGCATGTTTGACTTGCACAGCGTGTTCATTCTCTGAATATTCATTTAGTCATGTCCTTTGAAGCTGCTCCTCTGTCTTCTTCTGAGAGCGCAGCAGCTTTATTCATTGTGACTCCTGCAAAGTGATCTTTAACCTAAAAGGGGGCTTTGTTTATTTGAGAAGATTGTTTTCCCTTTACTCTTTTGGCTAGATCAAAGGAAGACTTTAGAGGACATTTAGTTAAACTTGATTATTTCTCAGATAAAAACCTTTGAGGCATCAGCTTTTAGACTGACACAGCCCACTAACACTGCAGAGTTAACATGGCAGTAACAAAGCAGCCATTTGCCTCGGTGCTGTCCTGTTTTTGCACCGCAGAGCTGGAGTAACCCATAAAATCAATACCCTGGATGATTTTCTGAAGACCATTCAGCCGGCTGTGTGAGACGTCTCATTATGCGCCGGCCTCTGCAGCGCGCTGCACCTTGTGTAGTCACACCATTTATACATAGAGAAGGAGCCGTAGTTCAGAAACACTGCAGAGGAAACAAACACAAACATCATGCCTTATCCTGCCTTAAAGTGTTCTCGTGCCCGTGGGTCTCCATCGCTCTGCAGAGCCCCAGCTCGCGATTGGCCTGCAGGAGAACGGGAACCCGCTGTGATAAATGGACCAGAAAGGGAGGAAAAAGGCCAGTCTGTAACTGCTAGTCAGCTAACAATATAACTGCTAGTCAGCTAACGATATAACTGCTAGTCAGCTAACGATATAACTGCTAGTCAGCTAACAATATAACTGCTAGTCAGCTAACGATATAACTGATAGTCAGCTAACGATATAACTGCTAGTCAGCTAACGATATAACTGCTAGTCAGCTAACGATATAACTGCTAGTCAGCTAACGATATAACTGATAACCAGCTAACGATATAACTGCTAGTCAGCTAACATAACTGCTAGTCAGCTAACACTGGCTGTGTCTCAATTCAGGGTCTGCATCCTACGTCGGCCGGTTACGTCACAGCGCCGCGACTAGGCCTGTCCCAATTCGAAGACTCCTTCAAATGCGGTCGACGAATCCGGCCTTCTTTTCGCCTGAATGAAGGATGGGTCGGGTGTATCCTTCAATAGGTAGCATTTCCCAAGATGCCTTGCGGGCTGGCCGGCAGAAAAAAAAGCTTTTCTGGAGAAAATGGGCATCCAGGGGAAGGTGACAGCAATGACCAGCTTCTGGAGCTGATCAGAGAGGACATGAGGCTGCAGAGGGAGGCAGAGCAGCAGAGGGCACAGGAGAGAAGGGGGAATTTTGACAGGCTTTTTACTTTGCTAGAAAAAAATGGTTAATAAAGATTAAACATGTACATATAAAAGAAATATCTAAATAAAATCAGTTCTGCATTAAACTCTTGAATTTTATTTTGGTTTACAAATGAGAATTGTTTACTAGAGGGTATCCCGCTGGGTCTTAAAGTCTTAAAAGGTGATAAATCGGTTTTGGTCAAATTAAGACCCTTAGAAAGTATTAAGAACTATTATCACATCTTTGCTCAGGCTCAGCTAGTCGAAAGTATTTTCTCCGAATTAGCTCTCCAACGGTCAAGGAAATGATTAAAGATCTAAATAAAACATCCAGCTCCATCGTTTAAAGTTCCTTCTCCCATCTGCTCAGCGGTTCCACGGTTGCTAGGCGACGGAACGTTCGCGTAGGGAGAGGCGGGAATTCATGAAGGCTAGGCCTGTCCAAATTCACAGCCGTTAACATCCGGTCTACTCGGCTGACGGAGGACCCAGCCCACGTCGGCCGAGTAGGCTGGGTCCTTCGAAGGATGCAGACCCTGAATTGAGACACAGCCAATATAACTGCTAGTCAGCTAACGATATAACTGCTAGTCAGCTAACGATATAACTGCTAGTCAGCTAACAAGTGGTGTGATGGAGAAAATAACCTGGGCCCATCAATGAAACCAGCATCAGCACATAAAGTAGCATATTAGGTCAGAACATTGAGGTCCAGTGGGCTGATACTGACAACGTGAAGAAGTTTCAGAGGACTTAATCTGAAACCTCACCTGCACATGACTGTCTGATGTTCCTCATCCAGGTCGTTAAACACCGCCGCTGACAGATAACTGGAGGCAAACGTTATGAAACGGTGCAGTATTTCTGTGCTGGCTTATAGAGCACGTATGATGCCCGCTCTCAGAAATTGTCAGACGACAGGCTGTAAAAACGAGGTTAGATCTCATTTTAGATGCCATAGCAACACTCTGCTCTGCAATCATTTCTCAATTGCATTCCTGATTTACCTGTTAGATGTGCAGTGGAGATGATGCCTGTGGTTAAAAGTGGCCACCGTGTCTCTGGTGTTTAGAGGACATGTGCTTCTTCTGCTGAGCATTTATCTCCATTGAAACACCGGCTTAAACCAAATGAAGTTATTGACCAGGTTAATGGAGTCTAATAATTAGTTGATTTATTCTACTGTAGCTGCCAGTGTTTAATTAGACAGAAGCTGAAAAGAACATTATTTTATTACATTTTGTGTAATTGTCTAGGCCGAAGCTTTTGATAATTACCTCTCTTCCTTTAAAGCAGCTTGTTGCCTCCGATCAAAGAACAGCAAACAAACCAGAAAACGACACCAATTAAAGCCTCCTGTCTTGATCTAACTTCTCACAAACACAATTTTCTAAATTAGCTGGAGTGGTTTTGCACCTTTTCACAGTGATTTCATGATGGCGAAACACCCTTTGTGGCTTTGACTTTAGATATACATGCACTCAAACTTCTCCGGGGATCTCAAGGATTCAAAACAAAAATGTTATGTTTCTGTTTAAATAAAGTCCAGTGGCTTTGGAGAGACGGTGATCATCATTAGCAACATAAACGACTGACCGAGGAGCTCGAGGACTGGTGAAAATGATTCCCTCATCCTCTTGGTCGCTTTAATTTCATGAGCTCTTCATCTCCTTAAATCAAATCTCAGCTAGAAAGAAACAAGAAAGAAAGAAAATAAAGGTTACTCAAAGATTTAAAGCAATAAGCAGGTTTTCTTCAACGAGGCACGTTTATGCCGTTATTCTGGCTCTTCTGTTGGGCATAAATCATCATGGTGGAAACATATTATCCAATATTAGGAGAAGTTGTTGGTTGTTAAACACAGCAGCAGGTCTTAAAGGAGCTTTGAGTTGAACCACTAACCTTGTGTGCAATAATAATCACATTACGGTGAAATCCCTTATGATAAAGTAACGTAACGTAATCCTGGCTGAAAGCAATGCTAACGTATAAAGTGTTGAGGGAATGCTTGTTTTTCAGAAACAACTAAACAAATGGCCACTCTTGTTAGATGTGAACTAAACTAACGGTTGGTGAAATCATTGGCAATATGTCGAAAATGTGTTTTTCTGTTTTGTTTGTTATAATAACTGTAATCACTCCTCACAACCAAAGTAAAACAGCACGTTTTTCCTTTCCGCAGATCTGATATTTTCGTGGATCTTCAACGAGTACCCGACATACGTGAAGCAGGACAGTCGCCGCTTCATCTCACAGGAGACGGGGAATCTGTACATCGCCAAAGTGGAGCCTTCAGATGTGGGCAACTACACCTGTGTGGTGACAAATACCGTCACAAAGACCCGGGTCCAGGGCCCGCCCACTCCACTTGTGCTCCGCAGCGATGGTGAGCTCTAAGTCACGGCCTGTTGCCAGGAGTGAGTAGACACCACATGGTACCTCTAAGGTCCAGGTCACACAGCAAGATTTTTATGCCAATTTCTGGACCAAGTCCCCCCTTCCGACAAACTTAAAGACACCCCTGGTTACCATAATTACTCTAAATCTAAAAATTACTCTTATAAAAAAAAATTCTAATTTTTATTTTTTAATATGTTAAACGTCTTTTTGTTTATTAAATGTTTATTCTTCTGAAGTGCCTCGTGATTTTTATCTCGAGAGGCGCTATATAAAATATTGTTTTCTTTCTTTTTTTTCTTCTAAATATTCCTGCCGTGTGTGGTGTGTTAACAAAAATCTGGTCAGCTCAGAAGGACATTGGCACTGCTCCAATCTGGGGCTGCAGCTATAGAATATTTAGTAATCGATTAATTTGCCTCAGTAATTGATCAAATAATCAGATAATCAGTTATGATTCCTTGAACACGCTGCTTTTGGAACTGCCGATTTCTCATCTATCTCATAAGACTTGAAGGAAGTCCAATTCAGTGGGTAAGATAGTTCTTTATAATGTTTAGACAAAACAAAAAACACTTTAATATTGCCTACAAATCCCTTAAAGTTTTGTCTTATTTTTTCTTTTTAATTATAACCTCTACCCCCTAGATCCTGAGCCCTTTTTTCTAAGTTCTGACACTTAATCACTATTCAAATTAGCACCAAATTGTCGGCTAAAAGCTGAAAAATCCAATTGTTCTGTTCAAGGACACTTCTTTCCCTTGTTTCTTTCATTCTGCCTTTATTTTAGTGCAGCAGATGTGTCGGCAGATAAAGTCCAGCCCCACCTTTCAGAGGGAGGGGGCAGATAGGAGGGTGACAGCGGGCACATTAAACAGGTGTTCCCTACAAAAGGTTATGGTATGAGACAATTATGTGGTCCTGTCCACCTGTCCGCTTTGACATGCTGATAGTCCTGTGGTTGCATTCCAGCCTGGGACAGCCACGATAAGGATCCGAATTAGCCATCACAGTCACTCAGGGACCCGTCCTGAAAACACACGCCTCACCAAATCCACAAGATGAAACTGGGCTGGTTTCCTCCGTCTCCTGAGCTATTTGTGAGACCCGGTTCTGAAGTGTAGCGGTGAAGGAGAGCTTAGAGCCGTGTTGGTAGATGAGAGAGGTTTAAAATACAATCTCACACACACACACACCTGGTTATCAGCGGAACTCGGAGAAATGACCTGCAGCCCAATTACCAGTATGTAAAGTACATGTTTACTTTTTAAAGTTTTTATATATGCATGTACCAAAAGTAGAAAACAACATTTCCATTCAGGCAGAGATTTTTAGTATGCACAGCAGAAATAGTCTAATCTTCCGACGCCGCTTTGCTGACGGTGAGTTGGAGGCTCTGCAGACTCAGTAGTGGGTCTCTGGGGGATTTCATGGACCTGTTTTCTGCTTCAGAGCTGTTAGAACAAGAACCTCATCTGAATGTAAAAGCTCAAATCGTCTTTGAAATCTCAAGGTTGTTTTTGCTTTTTTATTTCTACTTTATTGAACGTTAGTGTGACACATGTCAGCTGGAGTCCACTGTTTTGGCTTCTGTTTTCAGGAGGGACTTCGTCCTGTTCCTGCTGTCTGATTGTGACTGAATCAACCACAGCCTCTCCTTCCCCACACGTCTCTGAGCCAAACAATCTCTTCTTCCTCCCCACTAACACTCCTCATTTGCATTTGACTTTCAGGTGTTATGGGTGAATATGAGCCGAAGATTGAAGTTCAGTTTCCAGAGGTTGTTCATGTTGCCAAAGGATCCACTGTAAAGCTGGAATGCTTTGCTCTGGGAAAGTAAGCCTGCTCTTCATACACACCCTGCATGCTTAGCGGCCTTTAGGAGAAAAATGCTGCAACAAAAGAGTTGGAGTGAATATTTTTTTGTAGGTTTCTCCACTTTGAAGCAACTCCTGTATGCTTTAAGCTAGACATTAACAGGTGCCTTTTGTGGTGCAAAAATATTCAGAAAAATATCCAATTTTTACCACCACTGCATGCTGATGCATAATGATTAAAACAAGGTAAAAACTAGAGTGTTAGTTAAATTCAAAAAGTTGGACACTATGTGCAGGAAATCAACTCAGACTGGGACATAAATGCATGATAGTAGTAAGTGACAAGGTTCAGTCTGTGACGGTCATTGTCTCCTTGGGCAAGATGCCTAAAGCTTGGTTTATGCTTGACGTGTCCGCGAGGTTCGCACGGCTCCACGCAGCTAAATTGCGTCATTTTAACAACCACGCCCCTCCACCGCGCCTCCGCACCGCCCAAACTTTCCGCACCGCACTCCTGGGAAGTTTTCTAACCACGCGGACGGTCGGACGTGGAAAAACATGGCAGACTGGCAACAACTAGTGTGGCAGAGGTTCGTAAATACAGACATTTGTATGATTCAGCTCTCAGAGATCACCGTGATCAACATGTTGTTAATAATTCTTGGAGAGAAATAGCTCGCACTGTCGGAAAAGACGAGGACGCTGTTAAAAAATGCTGAAATGCCATGTTGTAAACAACAGTAAGTTCTACTTCTACTATGTTGTAGTGTTGTAGAGCTCCATGCTGCCCCCTACAGTTTGGGAGAATATTGGCTCACCGCAGAGACAAGCCGCATGAACCCTAAACGCTGCGAGTTGCGAAGCGCATTCCATCCGCGAGCTGCATCACCAAGCGGAAAGTGAATGTGTCAAGCATAAACCAAGCTTGGTCCACATGTCTAGCTGGTGGTGGTTGGAGGGAACCGGCAGCCCCAACTCTGCCACTTAGCCCCAGGGCGGCTATGGCTACATTGTGGCTCATGTGTGAATGTGTGCGTGGACCAAGGATTGTTGTAAAGCACCTTAGGGGGTTCTAGTGCTCTTGAAGGTGCTATATAAATACAGGACATTCACCAACAGTAATATGATTAACTTCTCGTGCCAGTGATTTAAATGTTTCTCATCACAAAAAGCCAATCAGCCAATCAGATGGCAGCAACTCAATGTTTTTAGACACCTAGGTGACTTGTTCCAACTGAAGATAACAAACGGAGAAGAAAAAATAATTAAGAAACTGGGAATGTACCATGGTTGTTGTTAACAGATGGTCAAGCCTGAGTAGTTCTAAATCTGCTGGTCTACTGGGATTTGAACCCACAACCACCTCTGGGGTTTACAGAGATTTGTCTGACTGCTTCTAGATGATAGAAAGACAACAGCAGCTCTAACACCCACTGGTCGCTACGAAGGTCTGCAGAACAGCATCTCTGAACCATAACATGATCAACCTTGAAGCAGATGGACTCCAGCAGCAGAAGACCACACCAGGTGTCTCTCCTGTCAGCTAAGAACAAGAAACTGAGGCTACAATTCTCACCAGATCACCAGAACTGGGCCAGAAGAGACTGGAACACATTTTCTTGTCTGATGAGTCTGGAGTTAAGCTGCAGCATTCAGATGGTCAGGTCAGAGTCTGACGTCACCAGCATGAACGCATGGATCCATCCTTCCTGGCATCAATGCTTCAGGTTGCTGCCGCTGCTGGTGGTGTTCTAGTCCCACTTTGGACCCCTTGGTACCTGGCTTAAACTCCACAGCCTATTGTTGCTGACCATGCCCACAGTGGACCCGTCTTGCCTAAAAAACCCATTTAGAGCACACCCACACTAGTGTCTCCAGGGTAGTCTGGACTTAACACAAATAGCTGTGCAATATTCAAGGGTTACTGTAATCCTTAGATTAGCAATGACGTGAGTGACAGAGACCATATGAGTTAGACTTCTACAACTCGGTTAACTCTGCACACTTTATTGCTTTCAATGAAGATACAAGTTGTTAATGACATGTGTTATAGCATCTTTTATCTGATGTTGTTGAATGCATCTTCCTGCCTTACAGCCCCGCACCCTCTATCAGCTGGAGGAGAGTGGACAATGTACCCTTCCCCAGGAAAGTCGACACAAGAAAGGCTAGCGGCATCCTGGAAATCCCGTATTTCCAGCAGGAGGACGCCGGCACGTACGAGTGTGTTGCCGAAAACTCCAGAGGAAAGAACATGGTGAAGGGAAAACTCTCTTTCTATGGTAGGTGATCCAGTCATGCGTGGATATTTAACCAACGCATGTCAAATCAGCTCAGGCCGGAAGGCAGAGGAGGCGTATACCACGGTTACAAAGCAGAGATCAGCAGAGGATTGTGGGGCTCGTTTTAACAGCACATCAAAATGATTAAAGGCTGTCAGCCATGATGCCTCTAATATTTTGAGCCAGATTAACGGAGTGATGCGGATGAGGCTGAGCCCTTGGATGTGACCTTGCTGGTGAGCTTTGCATTAGACTCCAGCAGATGGCATCATGATTGACATCCAACTTGACTGAAGATCAGAGCTGTGAAAAGTGCTACACACAGCACCGTGGCACATATGCGAGGGCCATGATCTGCACGGCAGCATCTGGATGGACAGGAAGGCCGTTGAAGCTGATACTACAATCAGAGACATTCCTACTCGGTTAAGCTAGCAGACATCCAATGTCCTCTACCTCAGCTTTTCATTGCATCACTGAAGGAGGAGCTAAAATAAATAAAACTCTGGTCATTTAAAAGCTGAGGAGTATTTTTATTGAGTTGAGATAGGTGATAAATTTGGGCTTTCATAATAATAAGCACTGATTGTATGTAAGCCCGATATTCCAAGTACTCAGACTCTGGTTAAAAAAAAAACAAGAAAGTACCTGAGAGCATTTTATTATAGCTTCAACGTCCAGAAAAAGTTTTTTATTCTATCTCTAAAAAAACTCGTTGATCTGAACCCCCTCTGGGTTTTTTTGCATTGGTCCAAGAGTGTGTGATTGTTTCCAAATTCTGCTAAAACTAACCCTACACTGTAACTAATTGCTGTAAAATAACGGGCTATTTTGAACTGTGGTTATACTGTTCTCCATTAATTCAGTTGAAGACTGTCAATTCTGACGTCTTTGAGAAGCAAAATATTAATGGCAAGCTTCTGTAATCTCTTACGGTACAAAGCCGTATTTTCTGCTTTTTCCATCAAGCTACCATAATCTTATGGTATAATATAGGATGTCTTTTCTTTCACTTCAGACTAGACCTGTCATGGTCTGTGTCTGCGTCTCACCTCATGTGTCTCCTTTTGTCCTCAGTCGTCTCTAGGTGCTCCTTTTGTGTCTTCTAGCGCCCTCATGTGTCGTTTCTGCGTCTTCCTCACGTGTCTCCTGGTGTTCCCCATTTGCCCTCTAGGTTTCCCCCCTCAGACATCCCTCTCCCAGGTCTTGTGCTCTCTTGGCCCCCTCTTAGCCACGCCCCTGTAGTTTTCTTTCTGTAGTGTTTTCCTTTAGTGTCAGCTTCCCCTTAGAATATTAGTTATGGTTCATGCCTTCTGGTCTTTTGTTTTTCTCTTAGGTCATTTTCCTTTGTTACAGCCTTTCATTATTTAGTGTGTTTGTTCCCACCAGTGTTTTCTTCCTCCTTCCTGAGTTAGTAATTGTGTTCACCTGGTCCCTCTCCCCACACACCTGCAATTCATCTCCCTCTCATCTTCCCAGTCTATATAAGCCCTGTCTTGTCTCTCTGTGTTTGTTGGTTCATTGTCTTGTGTGTTGCGTTGTTGTTCCCCTCTCGAGTCTCTCTGAGTCCCTGCTCATGTGTTGAGCTTAGTTAATTTTTAGTTTTTCCCAAGCTTTTGAGTATTAGTCTTATTTTGTGCTTTGGACTTTTCAGCACATCCACCTTAAATAAAGGAATTGTTTTTCTTAAGACCTCTCCTGCCTTTGAGTCGTTCTGGGTACTTCTGCATCCTGGGTCCAACCTCCTCTCCTCAACGTGACAAGACCATGGGTTCATTCAGTTAGACATCTGAGCGAAATTAGAAAATAAATGGAAATGAAATTAGGCCGACACATCTGTTGAAGCACGTTACTAGCTTGAGCTGGCTTGGTTATTTGATTTGTTGCTACAAGGTTCAATGTTACCATTTGTTGAGATACTTTTTCCACATAAAACATTTTAAATGCGTGTATATGGAGACATGTTACACAGGTTGATGCCAAAAGCTTAAAAGTATCTTCAGATGTGCACTTGATATAATATAGCTAACACACAGTAGAACCCCAAGCGTCAGAGTATGGGAACTCTGTCAGCCAGTTGAATCAAAGTGAGTATAAAATACTAGCCTGGCCTGCCAGGCTTGTCCTCTGCCTGTTCTACACTGAAGACAAGTCTGGGTACTGAGAGGCAGAGAGCTCTATGAGGGGTGGGACTAGCCAGCTCAAAAATAACCTATCAGAAAAAAGGTGGAAATGACCGCTCTATCGTGCAACGTTGTCGTTTTTTTAGCAGTAGTCAAAGATGGCGGCTGGCGAAGAAAGGCGTTTAGAGCTTCTACTTGTGGTTTTAAAGACATGGCCAAGTCATGTAGAACAGAGGAAAGTGACACAGCAACCTCCGCTTCAGACGCCATCTTTGTTTTTTATGAGAATCTGAGCGTCGCAGACTGTGATGTACACTGCTCATCACTAATTGGCTCGGTTAGAATTCTCAGAGGGTGTTTATTTTATTTTATTTTTTTTATGGGAGCGTTACCAGGCCCTTTACTTATGGGAAGCATTGGCATGGCTGCCAGGCTAGTAAAATTCCTTTGTTCACGATTGTAAATGTGGTGTTACTTGTTGTGCTATGTTGGCACCGTGAGTGAGGAGGTTGGTCAAAGGAATTGGACCCCTGTGCCATTCCACTCTTCAACTCGGTGATTCACACTAAATGCTTGTGACTCAGCACTTTGTGTTCCGCTCATACTGGCTGTCGGCAGTCACCTGATGTATGAGTTAACGGGCATTCTTTACTGTGGCCAATCAGAGCCGGCTTCTTCTCGGAGGAGCTGGCTCTGATCGGTCACTTCAGAGAACCGGTGCTAAGAGCCCTTTCGTTCACGAACGACACATCACTAGTAGGAACTGGAAAATAACAGTACATTTGCAACCATAGAACGTTGGTTACGTATTGTAACCCCAGATTCTATGAGTCTAGTCGCAGCCCTTAAGCTAGCTGCTATTGGAAGGATGATCTCCGCATCAGCCAATCATGAAGAGCTTAAATGTACGCCCACCAATAGTGGGCCCCCTCGTGGTATATAACCGCAGTGACCCCACTGCTCACCTCCAATGGCTCTTATTCCCATCATAACCAGTGGGGCCAGTGGCTTAAGGGCTGCGACTAGACTCATAGAATCTGGGGTTACAATACGTAACCAACGTTCTATTTTGTCTAGTCTTAGCCCTTAAGCTAGCTGCTATTGGAATAAAGCGCAGCTGGATGGGTTTACGCCCCACTGGTTAACACAACCAATGGACACACCCAATCAAATCTCCTCTAGTGGGGGACGTTCAGCCTCAGACCAGGCCTAAAGACTGAGGCAGGCACGATAAGAGAGGGGCCCCCACTAAAAAACATCATCCACAAGAGGATAAAATCCATCTCAGCAAGGCCAATGAGGTGCCATAAGCATTCATTTAGCCTGCTGGGGTCCAAGCACTGAACGAGTGATGGAACCTGAAGACACATCTCGTAAATAATAACGAGTAAAGGAACAGGGTGAAGCCCATGAAGCAGCCTGACAAATGTCTTCCATTGACACACCACTGAGGAGCGCCATCGAAGAGGAAATCCCTCTGGCCGAGTGAGCCCTGAGTGCCTCAGGGGGATCCCGCCCTGATGATGTGTAAGCGAGGGAAATGGCGTCACACAGCCAGCGTGAAAGGCGCTGGGCCAACAGTCGCCTGACCAAGGGAAGACTCCCTGTAGTGCACAAACAGGTTTTGTGAGCGACGAATCCCTGAAGTGCGTGACACATATCGTGCAAGCGCGCGCACCGGGCAGAGAAGGTGAGAAGCCGCCTCCTCCTCAGAGTTATGGGGAGGAGGAAAAAGTCCAGCCAATGAAATTGACCTGTATTTGAAGGAAGCATTAATGCTTTTGGGCACAAAGGCTGGGTTGGGGCATAAAACAGCAGACCCGCCATCCTCCCGGATCCTGAGGCATGCGGGAGCCACTGAGAGGGCGGTTAGGTCACTCACTCTCTTAACTGATGCTAGCGCCAGCAGCAATGCAGTTTTAAGCGACAGGAACTTGAGTGAGACCTGGTCCAAGGGTTCAAATGGAGCTTCAGATAAGCCGTGCAGAACCACCGTTAGATCCCATTGGGGGAAAAGCGGGCGGGACACAGGTCTGTTCCTTCTGACACCTTTTAGAAAACGTTTTGTGAGGGGATGATTGAAAACAGATCTATCTCCAAAACCCTGATGACATGATGAGATAGCTGCAGCATATGTCTTAACAGTGCTGAATGCGAGGCCCCTGTCCATCAGTATCTGCAAAAACGATAGAACATCCGCCAGCTGGCAGGAGAGCGCTTGAACATTCCGTTCTGCGCACCAGTTCTGGAAAGCTGCCCATTTAGCAGCGTAAGAGGCAATGGTAGAGGGCGCCCGCGCACTCTGAATCGTGGCCACCACATCATGCGGCAGCCCAGAAGCCTCTAAGCGTGACCGCTCAGCGGCCAGACCCACAGCCGTTGGCCTATTTCCGGAGGATGTTTGATTATCCCATCCGCCTGGAGAAGGGCGTCCGCCCTCCACGGGAGCCTCCACGGGGAGCCGGACACTAGCGCTTGCAGGTCCGGAAACCATGACGCGGACACGCGCCTGGGAGCCACCAGAATCACCGAGAGCTGTTCCGACCGAATTTGGTCCAGGAGACGGGGAATCAGAGGGACTGGTGGAAATGCGTAAAGGAGCGTTCGAGGCCAGGGCTGGTGTGAGAAGGCGTCCGCCCCGAGCGGGGGTCCGTCCCGGGGACTCAGGGAAAACCACAGGCGACACTGAGCGTTTTCGCGAGCCGCGAACAGATCCACAGACGGTTCCCCGAACCTGATCCAGATCTGTGATATCAGTGCAGGATGTAGACGCCAGTCGGAGTCGCGGGGTCCCCCTCTCGACAGGATGTCTGCCGCTACATTCAGTACCCCCGGAATGTAGATGGCTCTGATGGACAGCAGGTGGACATGTGTCCA